TCCATCCATCCATCCATCCATCCATCATCCACCACATCCTCTGTCACAGGGCCACCACCTTCTTCTGTCACAGGGCCACCACCTCCTCTGGACACCCAGCAGAGGCTCAAACCTGACCCGTAGCCATGCAGGGCTTCAGCTAAATGGCGAAAATGTGCCAAGCCTGGGATGGTCGTGGCCCATTCCCAAATTATTCCACACCGCTCCTCCTCAGAGGTACACTGAGGCAGGGAGCAGACCTCTTTCCCCCCCCCCCCCCGAATCAAGGAGCAGAACGTCGGCGCCAAACCAAGTTGTTGATGTCAACAAGAGTGATTCCATTGACGTCAGCGGACTTTGGATCGACCCTTCCCCTCTCCGGCTGATGTCACCTGCTAAAAAACACCTCAGCAGCTCCATCCAGCTCCCACTTGGGGTGGGTCAGCCTCCAGGTGCCCTGGGGAGTGGGAGCTGAGGGGGTTCAGGGTGGTCTCCGAAGAGGGAGAGGCCTCGGGGGGGGTTGGGGTTGGAAATTTTGGAAATTGTGTCCGTGGGAAGGGAGGGCGGACGTTGGAACGGAGCAGTGAACTGTCCTGGATGTGTTCAAAACCAGGTGGATGTGGTAGCTGGGTCACGGGTGGCCTTGGCAGTGCTGTGGGAGAGTTAATGATTAATGACCTCAGAGGTTTCTCCAACCTTAATGAGTCCATAATTCATCAGCAACAGCTCCTCCGTGCTGAAATCCAGTTGTCACGAGTGTCCACACTGGGCCGCTCCTGGTGGAACTCTGGGTGGGGTGGAGCTGCCGAGCCTCAAAGCTGCAACCAAAGCTCTCCACATTGGAATTTCGGGACATTTTCAGTTTGGGAGCTGCGCTCTAAATTTCAGAGGTGGCTTCTGAAAGCGGGCTTGGCAAGGAAAGCGCCAGGCCCAGTCCTGGTGGTGCAGGTGATGGGCTGTTCAGGAGGAGGGAAGGTCTAGTTCCATTGGAGACCCTCCTTTCCCCGTGGAATTCTTGTTGAATGTCTCTCCTGGCCAACAACTAAAGGACAATTAGGTTCTGAATCTTCAAATCCATCCCATTTCCACCAGGAGCTCCAGCACCACCAACGCTGCTCCTGAGGATTTCATCCCTTCCGAGCATTTTATCCCGATGGAGAACATTCTCCCCACGGAGGATTTTATCCCCCCCAGAGGATTTTATCCCCCCCCAGATGATTTTCTTCCCAAAGGGACACGTGGAGCACACCAGGAAGCAGCTCTGGAGAGCCAAAGGAGCAGGGGAGGAAGGAAATATTCTTATCCTCATCTGCCACCACCACCCAAGGCCATGAAGAGACAGATGACAGGAAATGAGGACTCAAAAATAGTCCCCTTTAATGTCAAACCCATCAGGGATTACGAGGAGCGGGGTAAAAGACGTAGAGCAGGTCTCCTGCTGCTCACTGTGTGCTCTGAGCACCCCTCCGAGGGGGAACTTGCCGTGATAGCCATGAAATTATTTCCTTCGTGCTCTTGGCACAAAGGAGTCAAGAGAGAGAAAAAACCCCGTGGACGTATTGAAACATGAATTGTAGAACCTGATGGAGCCTCAGTGCCTGGAGGGGCTGAAATTCCCTTTTCCCCACCTCCACAAGCCCTGCCTGCAATTCTGTGGGACAGGGATGGCCAAGTTTTTAATGCTTTATTAAAAAGAAAGTCTTCCTTCCCTAAGGAAACAATTTCTCCTGTAAAGCTCCATCTGCTTTACTGAAATCCTCTGAAATATGTGAAATTTGCCCTCCCCTCTGCAGTTCTGCACCTTCCATGGGGCAATACCCTGCCCCTCTGTGTGCCCAGCTGGCTCTTTGCCATCAGGAATTCTGTTTTCCAAGCAAAAGCTCCTGTTTGGGTTGGATCTGAGCAGTGACAGAGAATCTGGGCCCAAGGGAGAGAATTCCCAAGGGGTGTTTTGTCCTCCCTAAAACCTGACACCGGTCCCAAGTCCAGACCCGGCTAAATTGAGGCCACAACAGGTGCCAAGAAAACAAGGAAAAATAGCAACAGTGGCCTGGGATATAGGAGGTCTCAAGCTCCACAGCTCCCACTGCTGGAGATCCACTTGTTATTTATCCTGGAAAAGGAGCACATGGACAAAACCAGATGATTTCTACTCAAAAATCTCCCTCTTGGTCACAACACTCCCCAAACTGATTTGTGGCCTTGCTTTGCTTTGGGAGCAGCTGGGTGAAAGGGTCCCAAATCCATTAAAAAGCCACTTTTTTAACTGCTGAAAACTGGGCTTTGGGCTTTGAGTCCGGTGTTTCTGGATCTGCAGGGTTCCTGAGTGGAATTCTGCTCGATTAACACGGGGGGAAAGGTGGGAAGTGAGTTATGGAAAGGCTCTGAGGGACAGAGGGGCTTTCTAACCCAGGGGGTTTATTTTTCTTTGATGCACTGCAATGGCACATCCTATGGGGAAAAGAACATCTCAGAATGGAACAGAAAAATCTGGATCTTCAGGAGAGGAGGTGGCAGCAGCTGCACCATCCGTGTGAGACCAGTGTGTGCAAACCAAGGGTTCATCTCTTCCCTCCTCGGGTCTCTGAGACACCTCCTTCAAGGTGAGGAATCTCTCCTGGCTGCAGCTTAGAGCCAGCAGCTCTCAGGGGTTCCCTGTGGAGCAGGCAGGGGTTAAAAGTGCAACCAAACAGCCCAAAGTCCACAGGGGAGGAGGAAGAGGAGGAGGAGAAACGATGGAGAGTTGAGCGGGCGGGCCCCTCCAGCTTGGAAGATGTGGAGCTTCTCAGCATCGGGCAGGAAGAGCCGGGCATCCTCCAGCGCCCCGTGCGCTGCCATGGTGAAGTTGGCGTCCCCCGAGGTGACCACGTCGAAGACACACGACTGGAAGTAGACATCCTCCACGGGCAGCATCTCCCGGCAGAGCGCCCGCGCCGTCTCGGCGGGGACGCGGCCGCGGCCGCGGGGGCTGCGGGACATGCGCTGGCTGCGGGGGCAACCGGCCACGCAGAGCTGCAGGTCCTGCTCCTCCGTGAAGGCCCGGGCCACCTCCTCGGCAGCGCGGATGGAGAAGGAGAGCTGGCGGCCGGCCTGGCGCACGGCGATGGTGGTGCCGATGTAGTCGGCGCGGATCTCCACGTGCCGGCCGGGGCTGCGCTCCCGGATGGCCAAGCTGCTCCCGCCCGGCCGCGCGCCACCGTTGATGGAGCCGTCCTGGAAGGCCGCAGGGACGTTGTCCAGCTCGGCCTGGTAGACCTTCTGGTCGATGCATTCCTTCATGTTTTTGAATATGATGGTCAGCTGTGGGGAGCGGGGTAGGAGGGGGATGAGTGTGGTGGTCGTGGTGCCATCCCAGGTGTTTGGGGTATCCCAGGGTGGAGGTGCCACCCCACCTATCCACCCTCAAACCATCCCTGCTACAGTCCTTTGGGATAACAGCAATCTTTCCTTCTTTTTTAAGCAACGGAAAACTCAGGTGGAGCCAAACCCAGCAAGATTCCTCCAGGCACCCCATGGGCCACAAGATTCCTCCATGGACCACAAGATTCCTCCAGGCACACTACGGACCACAGGATTCCTCCAGGTCCCCATGCACCACAAGATTCGTCCACCATCCCATGGACCACAAGATTCCTCCATGGACCACAAGATTCCTCCAGGCACCCCATGGACCACAGGATTCCTCCAGGTGCCCCATGGACCACAGGATTCCTCCAGGTGCCCCATGCACCACAAGATTCTTCCAGGCACCCCATGGACCACACAATCACCTGGCAGCAGCAGGAGTGCTTGAAGGTCTCCTCAACAACCTTCACCACTGTTGTCCCTCTTTCTTCATCCCCCCCACCGGGTTTAGGAAGGATTTTGGGAAGTTTAGGAGAAGCCCTGACCCTGGATTTGTCCACCCATCCTGCGCACCAACCTTACCTTGCTGGTGACTGTTGCGTTGGACCCCTTGGCCACCGGCGAGCTGGTGGCTTGCACGAACAGGTAATCGTTATCCAAGAGCGGCCAGGAGCCCTCCACCCGGCACGTGTGGAAGTCATCGTGGAAGGTTCGGATGTGGGGGTCCCCAAAGGCGGCGCAGTGCTGGAACCCGGGGGGGCGGCCGTGCTTGTGGAGGAAACTGCGCTCGTAGTCGCAGATCTCGAGCGGCTCGAAGCCGCGCGCGTTGGGCGCCGGGGGCCGGGGCCGCGGCGGGGCCGTGGGCCCTTCCTTGGAGCAGTTGTTCTGGATCATGAGGTCCTCGATGCCGTGCACGGCCGAGTGGAAGGCCAGGTCGCCGCGGCAGGTGCGGGCCGTGCGGCGGGTGCACAGGGAGTAGGAGCGCAGCGCGGTGCAGAACGCGGCGCCGCGCTCGGGCCCGCGCAGGTGCAGCGTGGCCGCCACGTAGTCCGAGTTGCAACGGAGGATCTTGCACTGGGGAGAGACTGGGAGAGACCGGGGTGGCTCCTTGAGAAGTGGGGGTGGGGTGGGGAAGGGCAGCCTGTCCTCCCCGTGATGGTGAAAGGGTTTTAAAATCATGGGGGTTTGGGGTTAAAAGGAAAATTAAGCTTAGTAGGCCCTGGAAAGAAAAATAAATACCGTAAGTACATGAAGGACTTGTGCCTTGCTAGAACTGCACCTGTGTAGCTAGGACATCATAAATGATATAATTGTTAGACGTGATGATTGTTTAGTAATTAAATATAATTACTGTTTAAGCGTAAGAATAATCATGAGAAACTGTGGTCAGGGGCCTAAGGAAGATCACGAGAAACTCATGACAATGTATACAATAGAACAATATCAGTTTAATAATTAACATGTAAGTTCTATAACGATAGAATATAAAATATATTCAGCTCGAAAACCGTGTGGGAGTCAGATTTGGGTCTGTACCCCCGATTCCCAGAGCTCTTCATCAATAAAAGCACCTGCAGAGAATCATATCCTGTGATTCTGTGTGCTCCTGAACGCTGACACCCCCACCAGCCCTTGTGGTGTTCACATGCCCTCTGAACAGAGAGAGATTCTCTCAGGATCTCCTCCTGAGAGAAACAGAGAAAAGAGAATCAAAACAATTCTTATCTCATTCACTGCTCCCTGTTGGTGCCCATTTAGAATGTAGTGCAGAGATTGTTTACCCAAAGTGATTACTTGATTGAATTCTGATAATAGTTGTTTAAGTTCATTGACCAGTTAGATCCACGTGTGGCTATCACGGAAGAGTCACAGGTTTTCTAGTTAATAGTTAGTAATAGTTCTTTTTAGTGTAATATAGTGTACTGAAGTTATAGTTTAATATAGTATAATAAAGTAATTCATTATCCTTCTGAAATCATTACAGTCCTACATATCATTCTTCCCACATCAGGGATCCCAACAGCAATAACCCCCCACCATCCAGGTTCTCATGGAGGTTCTCATGGAGATTCCTCCTGGAAGCACTTTTCTCCTGGTTTTTACGGGGAAACAACTCTGCCCACGCCGTTCCTTACCATGCCTGCAGAGGAAGAGGAGCAGCAGAGCTCGGAGGAAGAGGCCGGAGTTTTCCAGCTGCCCCGGGCTCCTACTGTGGGCAGCTCTGCCCATTCCCATCCATGCGGAGCCTGGGGGGTCTCTCACCCACCAGCAGCTCCCGGCTTCATTCGGCAGCTCCCCTGGAAGCGGAGGTGGGCTTGGAGAGACGGGACCAAGAGAGGCAGCCAATCCACCCCAGCCCTTCCAAAGGCCACCACTTGTCCCCTGGTGGCACATCCACATGGCTTTGGACACTTCCAGGGGTGTAACTCCACCTGGGCAGCCCGTGCCACGCCTCGACCACCCTTTTCATGAGGAAATTTCCCCTGATATCCAACTTAAACCCACCCTGGTGCTGCTTGAGCTGTTTCCTCACAGGGGTGGGCGTTGAGCGTTTCACTCCACCCTCGCTTTGGGGACACCACATGTGGGATCAGAGCCTGGAGCATCCCTGGGTGCCAACGACGTCCTTGGACCCTCATTCCTGCTCTCCCACTGCCCCCTCACCTGTCTCAGCCTCCTGAGGAAACGATCTGGCTCCCAGCGCTGGGAGCTCCTTCCCTGCGGGCCACATGGGCGTCCTTGTCACCAGCTCTGCCCCAAGTGCCAGCCAGAGGGACCCATGGCATGAGCCAGGAAAATTCCAGCCCCTCTGGGCTCCTCCATGCTCCTGCAGCCGGGTAAAATCTGGGCTCCCAAAAATCCGGGGGCCAAGGAGAGGAGCCCCCCGTGGCTCCTCGTCCCCGGCCACCTTTGCTCTGTCCTTTCCCCTGCGGGGCAGAGCAGAGGCGGGGGGTGAAATCGATCCTTCTAAATTTAGCTGGGCTCTGATCCAGCCGGGAACAACAGCCAGAGCATGGAGAAGGTGGAGCACAGGAGCTCCAGGAGGAGGTGGGAGCCCCCAAACCCTGGAGACTGGGGTTTCATAGGAGCTTCCCTGGAGCTCCGTGGGTTTTCCTCCTTGGAAACCTGTGCTGGCACCACCTGGGAGTGAACCCCCGTGGAAAAGCTTTTCCCTGTGGGATGTGTCTCCCAGGGAATGGGATGTTCCCTGACAGGGAGGACTTTTCCAGCGTTCTGTCTCACAGCCTCCCCTCCTGGGGCACAGCCAAGTCCTGAGCACAAACACGGCACGGGCCAAAGTTGGCCAATGTCCCCAGGGATCGATGGCCAGTGTCCCCAGGGCTGGTGGCCAATGTCCCCAGGGATC